GGCAGCTCTGAAGAAAACAGACTGGGAAGAGGTGAGCCAGCAGCCAAGAGACCAGAGTAAAAGTGACTGTCGTCAGTGGTCAGCGGTGGCCTGGACTTAAGAAGGGGGAATGGAGAAGCCGTTGGGTCAAGAGATATGAATGGGGGAGACGAAGAGGATGTGGCTGCTGGGATGCTGGTTTGGGATGGGGGGCAGGAAGCAGAGCTAAGGATAAGACCCATTTCTGGCTTGAGCACTGGAGGAGTGACGCAGGCACTGACTTGGGAATACAAGGAGAAACATTTGATGGCAGGGACACAGCTCCTGGTTAGGACTTGTTGCATTTGGGGTGCTTCTGGGACATCCAAGTGTAAATATCCATTAGGTGTTACAGGCACTGGAGAGCTCACGGGAGAGGCTGAGGACAAGAGCTATGGAATTGGCTGAATCATCCTGGCTCCGGAGGCAACTGAGCCAAGGGCAGGAGAAGATACTGGGCACATAAGGTGGGTCAAGAACTGAGAAGAGGAAGAGAAAGGGGGACCTGGAAGCTGAAGGTTGAAAGGATATGGGTGGTTTTTTAAAGATTGGAGATACTGCAAGTATTTAAATGCTGATAGAAGGAAGCCAACTGTGGAAAGTGAGGAGATAAAAGAGAGGAGATAACGGGTAGGAGGGTCTTTGGGAGGTGGGGAAGAGATGGAGCCAATGCCTGAGCAGAGCTGAGCCTGGGTAGGGGACATCTCTTCCGGCAGGAGTGGGAAGCAATGAATAACTGCACAGGCCACGAACGAAAAAGACTGCAGACTTGGGGGAGAGTGGGTAGGACTGGCGGCAACAAGTGAGGGAGTTCCCCTCTGACGCTTCTCCATCCTCAATGGAACAGGAGGCGGGGTCACTGCTGAGAATGAAACATGGTCACAGGGTCAAGGTTTAGGGGTACAACTTGGAAAAGTCCCCCAGGTGGCTCCCCCAAAGGCCACCTCTTTCCTGGTACTCATTACAAAGGTTTTCATTACTGTGGGGTCAGTATCACAGTCCACAATCCGGCCCTCAGCCCTACCATCCAGAAGCCTGACTCTGCCAGCCACAGAAAAGGGGTCCATCTCTCAGAGGCAGACTCACATTGCCCAAACTCAGGAACCTGATGTATAAGCCCAAGGATGCCAGCACACTCAAGTACAAGGAGAAACTGATCTGCCTGACCAGTAAGTTCACTCCAAGCAGAAAACCTACAGGGGAACCAGACCATAAGCAGAAAGACGTTAATCGGATCAATTGAATGTTTCGTCACGTCAGGCTGTGCCCAGGCTGACTCTCCTTTCTTAGGAGTGGTGCCTTTGTGAAGACTGCCTTCTTTTCCTAGGCCTCCAGGGCTGGCCAATCCTCTTCCACGGGCACCTTTTTTCCTTCAGATCTGCCAGTAAATTCAATCAGGGTGGGGGTTATCTCCTTTACCATGGAGCCACTCTGTCCCTTCTGGAAGATGCCTTTTTGTCCATCTCTGAGCCCATCTATTCTGGGTGAGTGTCATAATCCCCAGCTCCAACAACACACTTGCTTTCTTAACATAGACTCGGGCAGGCAAAGTCGTAATAAACACACATGCACTACTGAGGGTTGACTTTAAGCCCGATGAGGGCAGGGGGGTTGCATCTGCCTTGTGCAATACTATCGTGCAGGGAAGTGCCAATTTTTTCTGCAAAGGGCCAGAAAAATGTCAATGTCTTAGGTTTTGTGGCCAGAAGGTCTCTGTCACAACTACTCAACCAAGGCACCAAAGGAGACACAAACAAGAGTAAAGGAACGGGTGGGGCTGAGCTCCAGCACAACCTGATTTACAAAAGCAAGAGGCCGGCCTGCAGGATGTACTTTGCCCGCATCTCCCAGCTCTTCCCTCGTGGCCCTGGCCGTCCTGCAGTGCTAGCCCCAGCACAGCCAAGCACTCAGGGAGCACTCAGGAAGTATCTGTAGAGAAGGGCTGGCCGTCTGAGGGCTTTCTCCCTACGTCAGTCATGACATCTCTGTTTCTGCAAGATGTCTTCCCACATTGGCGGAACCACTGACTTGAGGAGACTGAAGTGACAGGAGGAGGGAGGCGGGTGTGAGCTACAGGATTTTCAGAGCTTTCCAAGCATTTCCGTGGATTTGTGAAGGGAGCCTTCTATGACGAAAGGCTCCCAGTCCAAGTTACTGGACTTTTCAAAAACGGCCTGAATATCCTCATTACTTGGGTGGGTGCTGAGGACACTGTGCCCTGATGGGGAGCCTGGGGCTGCGCCGGCAGACTGTGCTCGAAGCTTCTTGAGGGCGGTTACCGGTCTCCTCTCCTACGTCCCCTGCAATTCCTTCCTCGGAGTGGGGGCTCAGTAAACGCTCACTCACTTCTCAGCCAATCTCTGTGGTTGTCCAGTCATCGTTCGTTCTTTTCCTCTTTATACCTTTCCTATGTTTTCCAAATTTTCTACAACTATTATGTTCAGAAGCAACAAAATCAAAATCTTCGTTAGAACAAAGCCAAAGACTTAATAAAATAACCAAAGCAACCCAATCAGGTTTAGAGTGTACTTTTCCCTCTTCTAGATAGAAACCTCTGATTATAAATGTGAAACACCTCTTGTGAGAAAGAGACCAGAGCAGGTCAGCTCTCATTGCTCTAAGTGCTGCTGTTTTCCTTCGACTTCTAGGGAGAGATCATTATCCCGTCTGTGGGAGCAAATAATAAGACTATTTACAAATCCTTTCAGTGGACCTGATTGCCCAGGCCATTCTCGGCACCCCAGCCTCAGCTGAGGGTGCAGTGGGGTTTCTGAGTCTCTGCTTTCTCAGCCTCTGCTTTCAGAAAATGGGACCCAGAACTCTCCAGCTCACTTAAGAACAATATGGAGAGAAGAAAATGTCATTGTCTCCTAAAAAGCAATTTTTCAAAAACTCATCTCGAAGAGTCTCCAAGAATGGCAACCTCACCAAGACCACTTCCCAATTTGGGAAGAAAAACGCTGCTGTTTCAGTAACTTAAATTGGTTTGAGTATCTCTTGTGTATTTGTCAAATATCCCGTGGTATTGGTTGGATAGAAAACTGGAGTTTTGCAACCCTGGCTGAGTCAGGAGACTCAGAGTCACTAAGCAGTGTTTTTCAAACCGATTCCAGGCCCCAGACTTGGGGGCGTGAAGCCGGCAGGGCCCCGGGTGCATCCATTCCCTGGGCTGGAGGGCAGCACAGCACCTGACGCAAAGGGACTCAATGAACAGTTGCTGAAAGAAGCTGGTATCACGGCCCCTTTGGGGGAAGATACAGGGAACTGGGGTCTGGAGTTTTAGGAAAACTTACTTTTTCCTGTTTTCCTCTTTGCGCTATTTGAGTTTTTACCTTTTTATTTTAAAGGGTTCATTTAGAAAACAAATATTAGTTATAACTAAAATAGCTTAAAATGATTTAAATCCTGTTAAGTCAAAATAATAATTACTCTGTTTTATTCAAGTATAGTTACAAAAGCTTGCTCTGTAAGATAAAGCAAAATGTGTGTCTGCTGTCTCAGTAATACGTCTTAAGTGATACTGCAAAAGTGAAAGGAATAATTGCAAACATTAGTTAGCACTGACTAAGTGCCAGGCAACATGCTAAGTGCTTCATATATGTTAACTCACTTAATCCTCTTTTCACAGCTCTGTGTGCCGTAGGAATGACGTCATCTCACTTTACTGATGAGGAAACCAAAGCACGGAGAGAAACTGAGGCAGTGCGCCCAAGGGCATGCAGCTGTAAGGTTGTGTGTGGAGCCACCTGACCCAGGAGCCGGGTGGTTAGTCTCAACTAACAGACAGAATTGGAAACACAGCCAATCCTAATGCCCTCGATTGGTTTAATAAATAAATTGTCACAAGAAATTTAAACCAATATTTGAATAATATTTGAATGGTTATTCAGTTTTTCAGTTGAATGAATAAACTGAAAATCATCCTAGGGAAGCTCAGCCTGACTCCTCCTAAAAGGAAACGGGGGGCAGGAAGGGAGGACACCCTCGGGACAGCGGGGCAGGGTCCTGGACGAGGGACCCAGGCCAGGGACAGGACAGGGCTCTGGTTTTCTGAGTCTGGTTTGCAGTTTCTGTCCCAGTGGGATAGCATCAGCTCATCTCAGTTACCTGCATGAGCAGCGATTTGTGTCTATCTTAGCACCACCACCTGGAACAACGGCTGGTGCTTAGTAGGTACTCAACAGATACCTGGCTGAATGAACGAAGCGAGTGCTCTACCCCCGTCTGTTGTTCTGTGTGCAGAGCCGTTCCTCCTGTGCCATGAACTTGACAACAAGCCTTTGAGGGTGGACCCATCCTGATCCCCATTTTCCCTGGAGTGACTTTACAGAGGGCACCCCTCAGGGCTCTTGAGCACCTTCGTCAGAATCATTCACTCCAGCACCCATTGAAAGAAACAGCCACCCCCATGGCCAGGGGGACATGACTCAGCTGATATGCAGATGCACTGAAAAAGCCCCAGAAGACAGGCCACAGAGGGATCAGACAGGGTGGGTGGTCAGGGGGATCTTTCCCTTGCTCTGTCTGCCGACTCTTGCAATGAAGAAAAGATGCATGTTTCACTCGTGCAATTAAAAAAGATCAAAACCAAGTGAGGGACCCTTTATATTGCAAGAGGTCTGGAATTGCAAGGCAAACTAATGCTATTTTTTTTCCCCCAAAAGATCAGCTTTTTAGGGCCACACAATTGAGACTGTTCCCCAGACCAGTGAGAGGCACGGTGTGGTGAGGTATTGCTGTGAGTTTCCCGGGGCCCCGTAGAGGAGCGCATGCCACCCCAACAACAGTGCTGGACGAAATCCTTATTCAGAATCCCAGAAAGAGAAACCCTGAGAGACAGAAAAGGGAGCCGATGGAACCTCTGCTCAGCGGCGCCCAGACCCGGCCTAGTAGCTGGCAGGAATCACCCGGTTCCTGCTGGACCCGCGGGCCAGGCGCCCCCCACCCACACCCCAGCCTGGCCCGGCCTTGTGGCCACGCACCTTGTATGGTCCTCTTGAAGAAGGCCTTGCAGGCCTCGCAGGAGGCCACACCGTAGTGGTAGCCAGAGGCAATGTCCCCACACACGAGGCACAGGCGCTTGGGGATGGCGTTAAGCATGTACTCGCACTTGATGGCCGAGTCCTCCATGATGCCGCTGGCACAGTCCTCGTAGCTCTTGCGGCACGGGGTGCCTCCCAGCCCAGCGCCTGCAAACATGGGCGGCGAGTCCAGACCGTTGGCGTGGGCACCCAGGGCCAGGCCGAAGCCACCGCTGGCGTCGGATGAGCCACTGGGGCTGTGGTGGCTGAGGGCGTCGATGCCCGAGGACGGGCTGGACGGCTCCGTCTTGATGAAGGACCCGCAGCTGGAGCTCAGGTGCCGGTCGTCTGCAGACATTCTGTTCAGCAGCCTGTGGACACAGAGCGCGGGAAGTCAGCTCCGAGGAGGGCGCGGTGGGTGTGACACTGTCCCAGGAATTAGCTTTGGGCTCCGGGCACCCAATGGGTGGGGCAGCTGGGGAGGGGTTTAGCTCAGGCTAAGGCGTTGATGAGATAAAATGCTGGCTGAGAATGTCAATTGGTCAAGAACCGGCTCAGCCCAGAGCAAATTTCTGGCATCACCCCCCAGAACTTTCTGAGTTCTCAAAGAAGGAGCTATGTGTGCTCAATAAACTTCAGATTAGGCTCCCCAGCGCTCTGCAAATTGCTGGCTTGAGGGTGACAAAAAGTGCTAACAAATCAGCCAAAATATTGGGCCAATCTTCCCACACAACAGTGAGACATGCTGCCTAAAAGTGAAAGTCCGGGTATGTCAGACCCTGGACCAGACACCCTCAGTACAATGACCTGATAACCCACTTCACCTGGCCTGACTGGGCCATCAGGTAAGTCCAAGCTTGACATTTCCCCTGAGCACCGTCATCATTGAGATTGAGAACAGAGATGCCAAGGCAACCAGTCAGGGCAAGAGGCAGGGCTTGTGGCAAAGGCCCCAGCCAAACTGGCTGCCCTCTGGGTTTTGCCTCTGGCCCAGCGCACGTGTAGCGGGTGGCTCCAGGCCCCCTCTCTCATTTCCCTTCCTAGCCCCTGAGCAGGTGGCTTGTGCCCAGCCCTTCCCCTTTAAGAGGCTGTGCCTCCATCAGGCAGCATGGGGGAGCTCTCCAACCCCGACTCTGTGCATCTTCCAGCTGCTTCTTGACCTTAAGTTTCAACCTTTAAGTCTCCCTGCCTCACCCCCAAGTCGAGGGAGCATTACCGACATGGCAGGATCACTACGAAAAGTCACAAAATGTTTCCCGGAATGAAAGCCCCTCCTCCCAGAAGCATGCTGGGTGGGTGAGAAGACAGGCAAGATGTGAGCCTCTCACAGCCCAGCCCCCAGGATGGAGGGGCCGCTCTCCGCATGGACAAGAGCTCACATGAGACAAAAGTGTGGTTCTGTGAAGCCCAGCTGCAGCCCACACTCAAGACCTCTGGAGCCAGCCAGGACCTGAGCCACGAGGGTGGGTCGGGGTCCTTCTGTTCCTGGCCTGGCCTGGCCATGTGGAGGTAAAGAGGAGGCCAAGGCTTCTGCAGGAGGAGCAGGGGAAAGGAAAGGGAAAGGTCCTGGAGAATGCAAAGAGCTGGAGAGGCTGGCAGCACAGCCCCATTGGTGGAAAGATGGCTCCGCCCTGGGAGGGAGGGCCTCAGTGCTGGAGGGCCCATGGTGGGCAGAGGGGGAGCGGCCACAGTCCCACCTCCAACGACCCCCAGAGGTAGCTCCTGTTTTGTGAGCAGCCCACTGAGGAAAGGACTGGTCACCACCTGGGGAAAGGACCACCTTATCACACCCACAAAGCCCACCCTGACGCTACCACCTTGGCACCACCAGCACCCCGGAATACTGAATGCAATCGTATGACGGGGAGGGGCGTCCACGGCCCCTGGCCCCAGTAATGATCTTCTAGTTAGTACACCTCCCAAGGGGCTGGCCCATCCATCTACATGAACGCGACCAGACACAGGGAAATCATCGCCCCACAGACAGGTCTAATCAGAAGCTGAGAGCTGCTTCCGATAAAAAGATAAAAGATACATACAAGGCTCCTACTCTCAAGAAGTTTATCATCCACTGGAATGGAGCATTTGAAGATAGAGGCTCCTGGTCTCCGGTTCCAATCTGAATGTTCCCGAGTCCTCTGAGACGCATCTCCTACGTGCCCCAAGTTTCCCTTATGTCGGCAGAGAGCACTCCAGTTGAGGGGCTCCTCTGGGCCCGTTTATATCTCTGGCAGGTGCCCCATCAGCTCCCTGGGCTCTGCATGGCCACCTGCCTCCCTCCATCCACCAGCGGGTCCCTGGTGTGTCCTCAGGAAATGACATCAGCCTAGCAGGTCATATTCCAGACGGAGAATCTGCCTGAGCAGGCACAACGGGCCTTTGGGTTACCTCCCAGGACGCCCTGCACAGCAGGCGGGAGCTGCCCAGGTGCTCTTTCAGTTGTCAGCCTCTCCTGCTCACTGCTCAGGCTCTGCAGTTCACAGGGACATCCCCAGGCCCCCTGTGACAAACCCTGCTGGGACAGACAGCCCCCAGACCTCAGTCCTCCAACTCCACCCCTCCCCCAAGCTCATGAGAGCTGGAGATTTCAAGAGATACGCTTGATGTAAACAGCAATTATAGCAACTCCCATTTCGTGAGTATGTCTTATACGCCACCCGCTTCAGATTGGTCCCTTGGACGGACAAGAACCACGTGCCCCGAGGGAAGGAGACAGGGAGCCCGCAGCCCCTCCCGGGGGGCAGTAGGCCACAATTTTCCCTCGGCCTCATGGCTCAGCCAACCCTGAAGGACAGCCAGGGCGGGCCACGGTTTCGTCCCCTAAGCTGTGGTTTCCCCTCCTGCCCTCCCCTCCATTCAGAAGAGCACAAAGTATCCTACCATGGGCTCTGCAGCCCACACGCACCCTGTCCAGATCCCGCCTCCAGGCCCCGGTGGGTCCGAGACTCCAGGGCTGAGAAGGAAGAAAACCGGATGCTGACCCCAGTCAGAATGTGCACACACAGCCGGCCACTCGTTCAGTGCCTGAGGCCCACTGGGGAAGTCCAGCGACTTCATTCCAGCAGCCTTCTCCTATCTGTGACCATTATTTTGACCCCACTAGAATGTCTTTTCCAGGGAGAGCCAACATGTATTTCAGGCACCTACTATGTGTCAAGTGCTGGCCAGATAACGGGACGTGACCAGCACAGCCCCGGATCTCAGGAAGCTCAGCCTCTCACGGAAAGGACAGACACTTAACAAACACAGGTGTGCAGAGCACCAGAAAAGCCAGGGGGCCCGTGAGCTGAGGGGGGCTCCCTGCCGAGCCTGCTGGTCTTGCCTCATTCGTCCATCACTCGCTCATCCATATTTACAGACTGAGTGAAGAACCCCGGGGCCCAGCTTCTTTTCTGTGTTCAAAATCCCTTCCAGACTCTTCTGCCTGGTTTTTCCGCTCTCCAGGGCTGCCTGGCTGCCCCTCTGCTTCAGAGGCTGAACCAGACTAGTGGTCATTCACCAGCCCAGCACGTCGGACACTTTCTTTTGTACCATCATATTTAACCCTCACAACCTGTCTGCCAGACACTGCTATACCCACTTTCCAGAAGAGAGGAGCCAGAGCTCAGAGCTTCTCCCAGGTCACCTGAGTGCCAGGAGAAGCTGGGGTCCTGACCCGTACTGTCTGGCTGCCCAGGGCCAAGTCCTGTGCTCCAGAGGACTCTGCCTCCCCGATACCAGGCCTCAAAAAGAGCTGCCCCGGGCAGGGGCCCCAGGTTCACAGCCCTTAAAAAACGCAGAGCAGAGCTCCTAAGCCCTGGACCCTCCTGGCTGTCATATCTTGACCTGTAGTGTGAGAGTCGAGAACTCTCTGGGGGCACAGAACAGGGCAGGGGAAAGAAAGTTGCTAGAGAGACAGGACCCTCCAAGAAAGCTGCCTCCCCTCTGTCCGTCTGTCCTTGACCTCCAGCTCATTCTTCATTCATCCAAAAGCAAAATTTATAGGAAAGACAGATGGACAGAAGTCCAGGAAGAGGACAGAGAAGAATTGGCCAGAAGAGTTGGAAGAGAATAAAAAGAGAGCCTGTTGTGGAAATGCAATGAGGAGGTGGTGGGAGCAGGTCACACACGCCTACAAGGTCCGAGGAAGTCCGAAGGGCCACTGACCACTGCAGAGAGCGGTCAGGAGGGGGCTGGGGACTTCAAGGCATGGTGGGGACGGAAGCCACGCTGTGATGGCTGGAGGAAGTAGCAAACGCAGATAATTCTTTCAAGAAGTTTGGCTGCAAAGGGCAGAGGAAGGGGTGAGGGTGGGGGCCTCCTGAACACCTTCAGGCAGCGCCATCCACTTGAACTTGGGGGGGCTGGGGGTGGAGAAGGAACATTTTGTTGTTATTGTCAGTGATTCTCGGTTTCTTTGATGAGGAGGCAGGGTGTGAAGAATGGAAGGAATTTAAGGTATTTAAAAATTATGGAATCCATACCATTTCCAGTTTGCCCTGGGCAAACCTGATCCCATCTACTGACCCAGGACAATTACTCATCCCCGTCTCTCCCCGAGTAGACAGTGAATGAAACGCTGATGGTGAAGGGTAAGTCCAGACAGAGTGAATGAAGATACAGAAGGGAAATGTCAGCTTTTCTCGAATTCCAGGTCGGCCTCATCAGTCAGCTGAGGTGCTTATTGAACAGCTAACCAACCTCCTGGACCTGACCCCACCCCAGTCCTAATCTGACCACGCACCTCTGCATGTGGGGCCAAGAAATCTGCATTTTTGGTCTGCCTGGCTTGTTTTTGGCACCCCAGTTGTGATTCCTAGGGGCACCACGTTGGAGTCCCACTGGAATAACTGCTGCCTCAGGGGACCTGGGAGGCGTGTGACAGGAATCTGGAATGTGGGAAGAGACATTAGCTGAAGCAGCCAGCAGGAGGCAGAGAGAAGGCTGCCGTGGAGAGGGGAAGTTGGAGGTGGCAGAGCGGGGAGTTGAGAGGTCTCCCACCCCCTCACCCCCATCCAGCCTCTACTCACTCCATGAGGTGGGAGGCGCAGGGGTGAAGGCTGACGGTGGGAGGTCTAGGAAAAGGAAGAAAGTTTGCAATGGCAACTGCAGAGGAGGAAAGAGAAATCAGGGGCCAAAGGTTGACCAGGCCCCTTAACTCAGTCTGCAGGAGCACCAAGGCAGGGGGAGCCCAGCCCCCTGAAGCAGCCCCCTTACATCTGGGTGTCCCAAGCTGGTCACTACTGCTATTTGGGGCAGGTAACTCTTCATTATGGAGCTGTGCTGTGCATTGCAGGATGTTCTGGAGCATCCCTGGCCTCTACCCACTAGATACCAACAGCATCCTTCCTCCAAGACAAAAACCTTCTCCAGACATTGCCAAATGTTCTCC